ATGTTGGTGGAATCGAATGTGGACGCCCCGGCGATGTCTCCCGAAGGCTGTACATCCCCACAGCCAAGCGACGGCGAGGAGGGTAAGGGCCGAGTGTTCGCCTGCACGATGTGTTCGTACCGCACAGACCGCAAGAACAACCTGAAGAGACACACGCTGACGATGCACGAACTTTCCCCGGCGCTTCTAGAGTGCTGTGGCCTGCGTTTCCTCAACAAGGCCGAGCTGAGGATGCACACGCACAAATTCCACCGCGACGGCTACCATTGCGACGTGTGCGGCCGCGTCTTCTGCAGGAAGGCGCTCCTGAAGCGCCATTACTCCGTCCACTCGGGCTTCAAGGAGTTCTCGTGCCACTTCTGCGGTTACGAGACGAGCCACAAAAGCAACCTGGAGCGCCACATGCGCGTGCACCGAAAGGACGGAGCGCCTTTACCTCAGCATCTCCTCGAGGGAGGCTTCCTGCCAGAGCTGTCTCAGCCTAGCGCCACTTTCTCGCCCTCGATGAATTTCCGCAGTGGCCTCCTGCCGCGCCAGCCCGCCCTGTCCTGCCCTGTTCTCTGATCACCATCCTCACCTCTACTCGACCCCCGGAGCGCCCACGCCCGCATGGCCAGCCTGGCCTGTGCTCACCCCTCACACACCGCCCACTCCCTCCGCCCCCGCTCTACCGCAGCACCTCCTGCAGAAAGCCCAGCAGGTCACGAGTCACCCGGAGGGTCAGACGACGGACTTCCTCCCCGAAGTTGTCACCCCGAAGAAGCAGGGGCCGCGACGTGGCTTCAGCGTGTCGGCTCTGCTGGGCGACGACCCTCGGCCCGACGACGTCAAGGAGGAGAAGGACAAGGTTGACATGAAGCCCCCCATCAGCTCCACGCCCCTGCCGACGCCTATCCAGACCAGCCCGGGCAGCCTTCACGGTGAGTTACTTGTCCTAGATTTTCTTTATTCTCTTTTCGATTGCATACCAAACGGTAATTACATTCTCGATCAGATGCAAGATAGAGGTAGCAAGTGATTTTATATCTAATTCTCCCATTCTCTGTCCCTCAGGTCTGTTCCGCCTGCCCGCGTCTTCGCCCCAGTCGTTGTCTCCGGACGCCTCCCGAGTGTGTGGTTCATTCACTAGCATAACGCCCACGAGAATCCAGAGACCCACGCCCATCCATGCAAACACCCCATCCTTCGCCCATGCACAATCCCCGGTCACCATGTACCCTTCAGTCGACGTGCACACGTCCCTGCAAGCACTCATGCACGCCCAGTCCCCGATCCTGTCGCCGCCTGCCAGCCTGTCCATTCCGCGGTGCCGCTCGCCCCTGCCTGCCCATGCTGAGTCTCCGGCAGCGCCCCTCTCGCCCAGGACTCAGGTTCACGGCTCCTTCAGCCCACCACAGCACCAGCAGAGCCCTTCCATCCACTCCCACTCTCCCATCCGAGCACAGACGCCTAAGAACGACCACCACGACTCCGGTGCGTCTTCGGGCTACGGATCGCCCGGCCTGGAGGAGTCGCCGAGGTTATACGCCTTCGAGCCCGCCCGTAGACCCATGCGAGAGGAAGAGGAGGAGGAGGACGCGGGCGTTCCGAAAAGTGTGTCACTGTACCACCACGCCCACGTCGAAGGCGCGGGCGAGCAGGCCGATGACGAGATGGAAGTCGATCAGGAATATGTGCCTAAGAAGCTCCGTGTTTCCAAGAAGTACAAAGACATGATGGGCTCCTGCAGTGACATCCTGTAGATGTGTGCTTGCCCATGTAAATATATAGTATAAGAATTGAGTGGATTTCATGCGTCGCGCAGACATTTTAAAGGGAAAACATTTATCTACTATTAAAAAAAAGTCAAATGTGTGAATATTTTCGTGTGTAAGCAACAGAGCAAAGAAGTTGCACTGATTATAAAAAACAGCTTTATTTTTGCTAACAAATTCCCAAGATAGTGTATTATTTTTGTACATGTTTTAAGATTCCGTGGAAGAGAAAACGATTGTTTGATAAGATAATCAAGTCCAGTGAAATGTGTCATGTTAGAAAAAATGGACGCGAAGCATTTGCTATACGATTATACTCATCTAGATTTATGATAAATAAAATATTGCAGACTCAGCTCAGCATACCTTCTTTTCCTATCTACATTTTCATCATTTCCTTTTCTCGGTATAAGGATTGATATAAATTGAAATACGACATAACTGATGGATTTATTTATTGCTGAAGTGCTTTGGTATTCATTGTCAAATATATTTTTCGATTACTTATATATAGCAGTTTATTTCCGAAGAACTGTTCTCCATCACTAAGTTACATTGTTGAGAAAATGGACAACAAAATCCCCCCCAAAACAGCACAAAAAAGTAGTAATGATATTTGAAATCAAAATAACAGGAAAAATATAACAATACAGTGGTGATGACGCTGATGATAATAATAATGATAATTGTAATGAAAACAATAATCATAACAATAAAAATGATGATGAGGATGGCGATGATGATGAGGATAATAATAATGATATTCATAGTAAAAACAACAAAAACAATAATAATAATGATAATATTACAAATAACATAAATAATGATGACCGTAACAACACTGCTAATAATAACAATAATGATAATGATAATAACGATAACAACAATAATAATGATAATATGATAATAACAATAATGAAAATATGATAATAACAATAATGATAATAGTAAAAACAACAATAACAATAATGATAATAATAATGATAATGATTAAAGAAAAATAACAAGAAGAAATATGATGATAATAATGATAATGATAATACTAGCAATAGTTATAATAAGTACAATAATAGCAATAATAATAACAATAATGATAATAATAATAACAATGATAATAATAGGAATAATGATAACAATGATAGTAATAATAATAATGACGTTAGTATCAATGGTGTTGATGATGGTGGTGATGATAATATGATAATGATATCGATAATAATGACAATAATACTAACAAAGACAATGATAGTAATAATATTAGTAATAATAATGATGATGATGATAATAATAATAATGATAATAATGATAACAATAATGATAATAATGATAACAATAATGATAATAATAGTATTAATAGTATTAATAGTAATAATAATAATAATAATAATAACAATAATAATAATAATAATAATAATAATAATAATGATAATAATAATATAATATTATATTATTATAAATGATAATAATAATGCTAATAATGATAATGATACTAATAATAACAATAATAATAATAATAATAATAATAATAATAATAATAATAATAATATAATGATAATAATGATAGCAATAATAATAATGATAATAATAGCAATAATAACAATGATAATAACAATAATCCTAATAGCATTAACAATAATAACAGTAATAATGATTATAATAACAATAATATTAATGATAATAGTACTGAAAATAATGATAACAATAATAACAATGTTGAAAATTATTATGATGAAAATTATATCAATAATAATAGTAATGATAATACTAATGTTGAATTGCAATAATTACAATAATAGTAATAATGATGACTGATAACACGGGAAACACAATCTTCATCATCATCCTCTTTGCCATCATCGTCATTATTATCATCAATAGACAATAATAAAAATAATAACAATAATGATGATAATGAGCATATCAATAATAATGATAATCCAAATAATAATAATACTATCAATGGTAATAATAATGATATCCATAATGATAATAATGATGACAATAATAATGATAGCAATAATAGTAATAATAACAATAATAAAGATAATAGCAATAACAGTAATGACATTGATAATTGAAAAATTATAACAGTGATGATATAATATCGATAATGATTATTTTAATAGAAACAAAAAAATAATATAAATAACAAAAGTAACGATAATGGCAATAACTGTGATAATAACATTAACGATAGAAACAACTATAATAATAGTAATAACAATATCAATAATAAAAGGATAATAATGGCAAGGATAGTAAAACGTAAATGTGCATACAGCCCCATTAGAACCAGAGTGACGGTGCCGAGGACGGTTTAGTCCGCCATTTTGTTTCCTCACTCTTTTGTCGTTCTGGCGCGCATCACGTGACTCCTGCCTTCTGTGCAGACCGTCTGATGCAATTCGCAGTCGCAGGAATTGCACGAGTGTTTCCCTTTTCCTATATTCAGTCGGATTTCTAATGCATTTTCTGTTTTTAAATAGCTGTTGTATTGTATGAAGCGAAGGGCATCAATGAGGGGCATGCATCGTAGAACCCAATGATCGCTCGCTCGCTCTCGCTCTCGCTCTCGCTCTCCCTCTCCCTCTCTCTCCCACTCTCCTCTCCTCTCCCTCTCGGCTCTCGCTCTCGCTCTCGCTCTCTCTCTCTCCCTCTCCTCTCGCTCTGCTTCCGCTCTCGCTCTCGCTCTC